ATGTATGAAGAGCAGTATGGAGAATATGCATACTGATTTTAGGTTGTAAAGGGTTAAGTTTCACTCACAGGAGTGACCAAAGCTAAATGATTCTCTTTTTTTTAAGGTCAAAAATCATGATGGTACAGCTCTTCAATTCCATGTAAGATGTGCAACTGAGTTCAAAGCATGCTATGTTATGCGGAGGGGTCCTTTTATGACAGGACTGGTATTGTGTCATCCAGATACAATCAGGGTTATTCAGACTAGTAATGCTCCAAAAGCACACACATACGAGTTTATTAAGCCATTGTTTGGTGAGTATACAGCAACTTTTGATAGTAAATAACAAGAACATTAATGTCGGAGTGCTGAGAGAGATCTAAGAATTTACTCAGGTTTTGCTCCATAAAGCAATGGTGACTATGATTAGTCAGAAAAACATGGGGCACTTTCTTGACCAGTTAGATGAAAGCTATCTACTTCTTGTTCTGATTAGCAGTCATTGTGATACTTTAACTCACCATTGGTTTCACAATACAGTCAACTCTTTTGCAAGTGGAGAATCTAATAGGAATTAGGAAAGTGCCTTTTACTAGGGCAGTGCCTGTCTGCAAAAATTATTCCCATAAGTGAATGCCAAAGAAAAATAGGGTGTTCATGTCTGCTTTTGGAAGAATTAATAAATGTGTGTTATGGTGGACTCTCATTAATGTCAAATGAACGAACAGCAAGCTTTCTTGTGGACAAATGGAAAATTGACAAAACCAATCCCTTTTGTATGTTGCCCAGTCAAAGGTCATGTTTTTGTAGATTTGCATATTAAAGACAAACTCTGTTGCCAAGAGTCAATTTTATGCATGTAGTGTCTGGTGAGGAGAGAGCATAAACTAAAGAAAATTCAATTTTTTACTTTCAAAAGTGTCCACTTCCACTTACTAGAGAGTGTACATCTGATTATGAGAATGTGGAAAATCAGAGTTTGACTGAGAGGCAAAAAGGGGAATTGAAAAAACTGTTGAGAAGTTGAACTCTCTGTTTACAAGAGTGTTCGAACACTTGCAGATTTGACTGTATTCAACTCTAAAATACAGTGTTCTGACTAATAAATGTGGATCAGTTTTCATTTCTTTCTTTATTTTTTTTTAATCAATGCCTTCCTCTATTCACAAAGCTTTCTCTTTACACAAGTGTGAACTATGTGGTCTAATGGTTTAAGGTTGCTCACATGTAAATGATATCTTGAGGACATGTTCAGACCATTGTACAAGTGTAAATCAAAGAAAACTGCTTGTAGTGACTTTATTAGCATGCATATAAATCCAAACTAGGAAAAGTACTCTATTGCTGCCACTGTAAATGTAGCAGCTATGCATTACAATCCTCAAATGATTGAACGACCTTTAACTCCTAACTGATGGAGTGCGAGGACTGCTCTAAGGAATATTGACCTGAGGTTGTAGCAGAACAGATTGAGCACACAGTTAGTACACACACTACCTACAGAGCCAATATCCCCCTGTGCGGCTCAAGCTAGTGAAGTTAAACTAAGTAGTTTATTATGTGACACTCAGACCAAACTTGTTTATTTTGAATTTCCCAGCTTTCACAACCAACAATACATGACTTATGACTGTTTCCATGGGAATGGTCTTTTAATAAGAAAAAAAGTGACCAAGTAAAAACCAATCAGAATGCTGGGATTTACCTCAGGACCATCTTGCCACATGATTTAAGCACTCATTATTAGTATGCACTAATACTTTCTTGCCTTAATTTGTGGGTCTTCCATTTTGATAATGCTGTGGTAGCATGAAATGTTACTTTATCTCTTGTAATTTGATCTTTGTCACCTAAGGGGATGGACTGATTGCTGCAAATGGCAACAAGTGGTTTAGAATGAGACGACTCCTCACTCCAGCTTTTCACTTTGATATACTCCGATCATATGTTCAAATTTTTCAGGATTCTACAAACATTCTTTTGGTAAGTACTTAATAAGAAAATCTGCGAGTCCATTTGGCAGGCTAGGTAAATTTTTTGCATTCAGTGCATCAAACATGTGGTTCTCTTGGGAATACTGGGAATTCAATTACCCCCACCTTCTAAATGAATGTCTTAATTCAATTTACCCCTCATAACACAACAAGTGTATGTTGATTGAACTAACTTATCATCTATTATCATAAAATAACTGTACATGTGTCTGCAATCATTTGCAAGCTTTCATTGTTCTGATATCTTAAAAAAATGGAAGTGAGCAATAATAAGACTCCATGTTGTTTCAATTGGATTCCATCTGTGTCAGATGTGATAAGAACATATTTTTTGTTATCTATTACTTAGCAAATCCATAGTTAGATGGAGTTGATTTGCTTTGTATGATTAGATAAAAAAGCAAAATGGTGTTAATGGTTATGTCACTTACTTTTTCTCTCCTCCAACATAACCATACGTAATTATAGGAGCCAATCTGAAGGCTGATGATGTATCATTCAGCTCATTATCTAATAATAGGTTGTATTTTAGTTTTATCTGAGGTTTAGATATTGGATACATAGCTCATGCATTTTATAGACTATTTTATTCACACTGGATGCCCAAAATTGTTAGCTTACTGTTTCAACACAAGATCCCTAACACATCAAAACAGCTGTTCCAGGCTGTATCTTGACTTTCAGTGTGGACTCTAGTAGTTGTCATATTATTGATACTTTTAAGTTAACATACTTTGTTACAAATAATATCATTATATACATACCTGGTTACCTCCATGCTACTGAAAGTTGCAATTTCCAGGATGTGCTTAATTGTGCAAAGGCATGGCTGCCGATCTGCCCATTTTGGACAAAGTTTTTGACAAACAATCACTCCATGTATTGTTGTCCTCTAGGAAAAGTGGATGTCACAGGAGAGTGATGAAGTTGAATTATTTTGCCACTTAAGCCTCATGACACTGGATTCCATTCTGAAATGTGCCCTTAGTTATGAAACTGACTGTCAGACTCAAGAGTAAGTCTACAAATAAATGAATTGTTTTGTTACCCTTCATCACCAAGTGAAAAGTGTCCTATTTGAGGAATTTAGAAACTAAGAAAAAAGGAAAATTTGAGCTTGGTTGGTGGATTATAGATTAATAAGGAGGCTATTAATGACAATAATCTGAGGTCTTTCATTTCTTCACAGAAAAGCTAATCCCTATATCAGAGCAGTATATGATGCATCTGACGAGGTTCTCAACAGGTTGATGTAAGCAGATGATTACCTTTGCCCAAAATTCAATTGGTCAACTTTGTAGAGTAGTTTGATGTATTAGAGTGATATGAGGGCTGAATGTTAATAACAATAAGGGAGGGGGGGAGAATAAGGTAGTTTTATTGAGTAATATTTATGGTGGAGGGGGGTGGGGGGGGGGGGGGGGGGGGAAAGCTCAGGAAATTGTAAGACAGGGGAGGGAAGGGCCGAAAGTGAGAACTTTGAAGGGCTAGAAACGTAAGGGAAATTCAAAAGTTAATGTATCTTGCATTGGTAATTATCATAAATCTGAATGTTTTGTTACATAGGGGTTAAATTAGTGGGAGGCCACAAACTAGCAGGATATTGATAGAGAAAATTCAGTGCAGCAATCAATGCCCAGTGCAGTGACTTTAGCCCTTTGTACCAGTGCCCTCAAAGGCATAATAAATTTATTTTAATTATTAAAAAGTGAAACCAGTTTGGTTGCAAAGTAAACCTGTGTCACAGCCTCAGCACTGGTGGCCTTTAATATTAAGTGGTTCTCCCCCACCAACACAGTACCACAATTTCTTTCTGCAAACAGCTGTATATGAATTACTGCTTTCCTATATACCCTTCTTCTTGACCCTGCACTACATTTAGCAGGGTGATGATTTATCACTACTTTTACTTCCGTAGGAATCCTTTATTACATTCAGACATAATTTATAAAATGACAGCTGGTGCAAAACGTTACTCTGAAGTATGCACGGTTACCCAGGCCAAGGCAAAGGAGGTCATTAGAGAAAGAAGAGCTGCTCTTCAAGATAGTGTGAGTACATCATATTTGTTAACCCTTTAACGTCCATGAGTGACCAAGACAGAGTTTCTCCTTACAATATCAATGCAATACCATCCAGACAAGTGATGAGAATAAATACAAATATCAATCAGGGGATCATTAGTTGATCTAAGACCAAATTCTCTAAACTGACATTATAGGATTTGTATGGCAGACAGTAAGGAGAATTACTATTGAGATCTTGGGAGTAAGGTCTAAGTTTTGGCCGCTGGAATATAAAAAATAATTCAAACACGTCTTTTGAAAATCATTGGCATGTTACGTTTTCATTTTTTTGTCATTTGACTAATACATAATTGTTTAAAGTTGGACAAATCAGGCACAATCTATTTCCTTATCTTTTAAGGTTGAGCAAGAGAAATTGAAGGAAAAGCGATACTTGGACTTTCTGGATATCCTTTTGGCAGCAAGGGTAATGTTGTACTTAGGTTCTATAAGATCTGAAGCTTAAACTCTTTAAGATCATATAACATACCTCTTTCTGCTCGTTTTGAGAACTTGGTTTTTTGTATGAACAAGGACTGATCTACATGATGTTTACCTAAAGACTCCAATTTGTCTAAAAATTGCAAAGAGAATTTAGTTATGGATCAGGCTAGGAAGTCTGAGTTAATCAAACAAAAGTAATCCTATAAGACACATGCCTTGATTTTCTCGTGGTTGTGCAGCGCGGATATCTAATGTTCCTAATAGACTTGCATGAAGACCAGATGAAACACCTGCATGTCGATTTACTAAACCAACGACTTCGGCACGGCTTATCTAAGCCATATGCAAGAAACTTTCCAGACATAGTATGTATAAGACTTTGGCTTGAAAAGGGAGTTATCAATCACACCACGCATACTATGCAAAGTATGCTATAAAATAATTTCTCTTCCCTATTTCAGGACGAAAAGGGAAACGCTTTGACTGAGGAAGAAATAACTTCAGAAGTTATGACTTTCATGTTTGCGGGACACGATACCACTGCGAGTGGTAAGTAGTGATATCGAAACAAGTTGTTTATAATCACCAGAAGTGTAAGAACCAGTTCTGGAAAAAAAAATATTTGACTGAGATAGGATCAGTGGGTAATTGGTCCTTGCTGCTGGGTAGCCGCATTTGAGATCAACAAGGCGAAGCGAAAAGGAATTCTGGCGTCCTTGAAATACAATGGGAATTTTTTTTTCCCCGAAAGAAACTGTATTGTATAGTAAGTCAGTTGTTAACGTAAATTGGCCACCGTTCAGAGTTTGAAAGCTTACTTTTCGAGCGTTAGCCTTTTGTTCATTCGCTCTGACGAAGGGCCAACGCTCGAAACGCCATGATCAGTTTTGAAACTCTTTACGGTGGCAAATTTACTTTATCAACTCAGTTGATAAAACCAAAATTATCTTGTTATACTCCTCCACCGACGTAGCACCATAGTTTCTTTAGAAACTTACCCCCTTTATGGTATTGTATAGTAGTCACATCGTCTAGCAAAGTCACAGCTGGCTTCCCTTATGAAATATGATTGATTGACGAAGTGGCGCAAATTATTTGTGAACGAGTCAGGATCAGCCTCTCTATTTTGTAAAGTCTTTAATCCTGTACGACCCCTCATTAAAAAAAAAATTAATAAGTAAATGAAGAGATAACAGAGTAAATTTGTAAATGATATTGCACATTGCACATTGCTTTCTCATCAGTGACTTGTGTAAAAAGGCCGCCTTTAGAGGCCGTCCATTATTTATCGTGGTGAAGGGGGTTGGGAGTTTGGTGGAGGACTTTGGTTGTGTTATTATAGAATTTACCTTACCTCCCCAGTAGACTCTGTAATTTTTTTATTTTTCCTCCCCCCCCCTCCCATTATCGGCAATAAAGTAGCAGTAAATTTTTCTATACTTCTTCCTTTATACCCCTGAAAAAAACAGGCGATCCCCCAACATTCTCCATCCCCTTCCCCCACCCGTTATAGTTAATAATTGGTCACGCGTTTCAAACTGTTTGTTAATCCTCCTTTCTAGCTATGTCGTGGACATTATACAATTTAGCAAGATTCCCTGAACACCAAGAAAAATGTCGAGAAGAGATAGATGCAGTGCTTGGCAGTAAAGAGGAGTTTGAATGGTGATTATTTTATGTTGCTCGAACATGCATGTAGAGCCAGGAGAGAGATCCTTGCGCCTCAGAAAGGACGCGCAGTGATAGCTTCTTTCGTCGTTCGTGCTTCGCGCGCAGAATTTCTCGTCAGCGTGTCTCTTTAAATCACTTGCGTGCGGGTGAAACGCACTCCGTCTTTCCCCACTGATTAGATACGTTCTGATTGGTTGGTAGTGCAGTTAATTCGCTCGTTCGTGGGCTCGGGTATGCATGTTAGCAGACATAGAGATTCATGAAGGATCTTTGATTTGTGGTCGCTTAGTAAGAACAATTTTCATCAGTTTCGAAAGTAATCTAGGATTGGTTTGTTTTATCTTTACTTCACTCTCTGATTGGTCCGAAAAAATCGCGGCACTCTCTGAACCAATCAGATAAGAAACTATTACCAACTACGACTTGGTCACCCGTATTTTCTGGCGCTTTGGCTAGTTTGGTTGTATTGTATTTCAGTTCTCTTGGGCTCTTAAAGGTTTTTCCTTTTCTTTTGATTGGCCAATGTGATTACGACACTCAATCGAAAAGCGCTCTAATTGACAGGGATTTCAAGGTCTGCAGATGTGTTAGCGTTAGTGTTCCGCAGTGGTCTGTCAACAGTACAGATCAGTAGAAACAATACCAGAAACATTTGCGAAGAAGACGAAAGGGAGAAGTTGAGTAGAGCTATCCCAAATTACATGTAATCTGAGGGTTGAGGATATAGCAAAACCACGCCATGTTCGATTTGAATCCTTATTCTTTACTTTAATTTTCATACTTGTGTCTTTTAGGAGCGATCTCAATAAATTAAATTACGTTCACTTGTGTATCAAAGAAAGCAACAGAATCTACCCTCCAGTGCCGAGGATAAGTCGCTTGTTGGACAAACCGTATGAGATTGAAGGAAAACTACTTCCTGAGGGTATGTTGTATTTTCGATTTTAATGAAAATCACCTAAACAGCAACATTTAACCAGGTCGAGTAGGAGGGTCTTTGCATTTTTAACTTTCCTCAACTTTTTCTTCTTTTTCATTGCATGAAACAAAACTGATTTCATTTAGTCATATTTCTTTCCAGTTCAAGATTGTGCAAGGCGCACGTGATAAGAATATCAATGACACCACTCGCTAAAGGCTCGTTCAACTCGATTGCTCACGAGTGAGCGCAGCGAACAAGTGATATGTCGAGTTGAACACTGAAAGAGAAGTTCCATATTTACGATCAACCATGGCTTTTTTTGTTTATCATATAAACACAATAGTCCTTTACTGACCAGTCGTAACAAGTTTGTCTCGTGGAGCTAGCCAGGTTACAAAATAAAATCAATCTCACGTAAGACTGTGATTTTGGTTTCGTAAAGAGATACAAAGTGGAAGGAAAGTTAAAGCTTTTCTTTTGTAGGCAGTTTATCGTAACTGCTCTCCGAGTCCCGCTTTTTGTTTAGTTTGTCTTTCTGCTCGCTTTTTTTTTTGTTTTTGTTTGTTTTTTTTTCCAGGAACATGGGTTACTACTCACATATTTGCCTTGCATCGTAATCCGCACGTATGGTCAGATCCCGAGGTAGTTTGAATTATCACGCTTTCTCTCTTAACGAAGCTAAGACAGAGCGTTCGCTTGAATGATTTGTTTTAGACTGAAACAGAAGTCTCTTTCTCTAGACCTTCGCTTGGCACTTGGGATGTACCATTCCGTTTCTTTTTAATTCCGTTGTAGATCCAGATCCAAGTCACTGTAGAATCGAAATGTGTTCCTGATCTTGATAACAGTCTAGCATTTTCCTATGCACGTATTGCCTATGGTTAACTGAATTTGTTTAGTTAAGAAAATTGTCACACTAAATCAATGTCTGGAAAGGTTTTTTAATTGTATTACTTAGTTATTTTTTTTTTAATTTTTTTTTTTTTCAGAAATTTGACCCTCTTCGTTTCACAACTGAAAACATAGAAAAGATGTCACCTTATTCGCACGTTCCTTTCTCTGCTGGGCCGAGGTAACCATTTGAATTGTTTTATAGTTTGCTCTGATAATAAAGAACAATTGGATGAAGTTGAGTATGACATCATGAATTATCCAACCGAAATCTAAGTTATTTGCCGAAGCTGAAGGCTAAGCCACATAACACAGATACGCGGTTTGGTAATATAAAATAACGGTTTTGATAATTCATGATATTACAGTCAACTTAATCCAGTAATTTCTTATAGATTGCATGCTCTCCACCCATCAGATTTTTCCTAGTAAGTCATAATGTTTAATGATGGTCATGTTTGGTGGTTAATTCATGAATTTATTTGGGGAAAAATGATTGTTTTAGCATCTTGCCTTTAAGCATTTTGGCGTGACTTCGCCTTGTAAGACGAATTATTCGACAGTATCTGATATTTAGGAAAGTCAAAGTAACTGTTCATGAAAAAATTGAAACTAAAATCAGAGTCGATGCAAGAATTAAGAACCAAAATAGGTGGGATAAGGTTAAGCCACAACAAAAATGACAGAGACAAAGAGTAAAAATAAAAGATTGAATCTACCAAAATGCTAGGTTGGCTAATCAAGTTGGGTGGAAACAATTGCTTCATAACCCTTTGACCCCTTAAGAGTGACTTGCAGCTAATTTCTCCTGACAGGATCACTAATGAATCAGATATTAATCGCATTAGGTCACGAGAGTAAAAGAAATGATTGCCAAGTAAAGGAGCTCTTGTTAGTATTATAAGAAATATATAGAGAATAGCATACAGAATATGAATACTCATGTTAGGATGTAAAGGGCTAAATAGAAATGCTGCTTCACCACAAAGCTCGTAACAGTTTTTCACTGTGACATGTTCACGTGTGACATGCTTCTGGCATCCATCCGTGTTGTTTCTACAGGAACTGCATTGGACAAAGTTTTGCCCTGGCTGAGCTGAAAACTACAGTAGCAATGATCCTACGAAAGTAAGTGAGCTCACATAATACTGACTAATAATGATATGATTTGGATTTAGTCTACCATACTCTGCGATTTGCGAAAAGACGCACTCGTGGCGTCCAGGGAGCTAATCAGATATAATTATAGACCTGCTGGTAATGTGATCATACACTTTTCGTCATGCGTGTGCGAACAACCTGTGTGCCCGTACGTTAGCGCCTTGACGTGCATTTTAGTGTAAGGGATGCTAACAGTTGCAGTTACAAATTGTTGCATTTTTTTTGTTAATATTATTCTTTTTCTTAATACAGGTTTGAACTTAGTGTTACCCCGCAGAACATCATACAAGACTACAAAGATCTTCAGCCTCACTTGATTCTGCGAGCAAAAAATGGCATCGTTGTGAACATTTCACCAAGGAGTAACTCATGATAAAGAGAAAATGTCGACCAGACTTGATAAATGGCGAAAAGGAGAGGAACAAATGAGACAACTCAGCATTTAGTCAGGATGCGTAATATTTCCAAAGAATTATATTTTAAAGTTTACATTAAAAAAAAGCAAAACAAAAAAAAACGCCCCAGCGTCTAAGATAATCAGTTCTTGGAGTGTCTGTCAGAGCTTTCGAGAATTACAAGAAGGTCTATAAGTTGAAAGAAAAAACTAAAGAAATTTATAATGCGTTTAATTGAAAGGGTTTGGGGATTCTAGGGAGGCCCATTATATTTTTAGGTCGAGTGAAAAGAGAGGGATTGTTCTTTCTTTCACACTCAAAAAAAAATTGTTTTTTCAAAGTGTGGATTGCTTTTAACTGGAAGAAAACAGTCAGAGAAGAACTATTTAAATGCAAATTGTTTTCTTTAAATTTGAAATAACCAAAGGTATTTTTAACATGCGTTTAAAGGAGAAGTACAAACTACGAAATTAAATATACAATTTTTTTTTCGAACTTACTTTTTATCTCTCAGGATTGAATTGAATGTTGAATAGTGAGTTAATGCCTACCGAGTTATATATGTTTTGATATATCTAGAATCATCTAGATTCTGTTTTCTAAGGTTAACTTCGTAGAGATACACGACATATGCGTGATCCTCTCTGTAAAGAACATTTCTAAATGATTTTAACACACTTTTTTCAAAGCAAAACCAAAAGCATATTTTTGAAATTTTGTTCAACCTGAAACAAGTCATCCAAACTGTATTTCCTGTAGTTCCTTTACTGTCTCTGTTTATCTAGATTTCTGTCCGAATTAGAAGGAAGATAATTGTCATTCGGACGAACGAAGTAAGGAAGAGTGAAATACGTTTTTTTTTTGTGGTGAACCTCTTAGAAATATATGACATAAGCGTGATCCTCTTAATAAAAAGTTTTTTTCTGATTAATTTGAAAACACTTCTGTCAAGGCAAACTAATAGCATAAATTTGATATTTATACCTTTCTCTTTTTTTGGGAAGAGTATGCTTAAGTTTTATCTTCGCTGTTAATGAGAATGTGTAAAGATTTATTACTTTCTTGGTGAAGAGGTGCACGAAAGAGTTACGTCACCTTTCGAAGAATCTTGTTCTAAGAATTCGCCTATTTTGCCGCCATTTCGATAATAACTCAGTAACTTGGTCACTGTGACCTCATATTAAAGCGGTGACGTCACAGGCTGTGTCCGTTCCTTTTTTTTTTCTTCTCTCTTTCGAATCTCAAAATGCGAGCAAATAAAACCCGCTTCTTTAAAAGTTGAAAAGGTCATGGTGACAGCAACAAAATTGATTTGGACTTTGGTAGGACATATACATTTTATAAAATATGAAAATATGAATGCTTGCCCCAAACGAAGTTTACTAAATTATATAAGTCTTTGCTGAATGACGTTGGGTAGCCTAGTTCCAGTTGCTGTGGTCGCTCAAGGCATACTTTCAGCAGACACACTATGATGTTGTCGTTTGCATGTTCTGCGTCACAGGCGTTAACCGCTAGGAGCTGATTTTATGTCTCACCATGTGGTTCAAGAAGGGCAAGGAATTCTGTAGAAAATAATGTAATTATTTTCTGATTAACTCTCTCCATTAACCCTTTACATCATTAATCAGTATGCATACTTCCTATAACGTTCCCTATGCATTTCTTCAATATTGACAAGAGGAATCCGTTTAACAATCAAAGCCTCCTTGGTTGGTGATAACTCAATGTAGCATTGTTTTACAAGCCAATTATTCACAAGGAAAGTATGTCGTACTTGTTATCGGTCACTCAGTAAGTGAATCAGTTCATCGGTCAGTCAGTCAGCTTGTAGGGAAGAGGGCCATTCGAACAGAGAATGGGTAACTGCATCGGTCACCTCGTCAGGCGTTAGGCTGGCAACCAGCCAGCCAGCCAGCCAACTGTTAGTTTTTAATCAAGTCGCAAACTATGGACATAAATCCACTCTCAACTCACCTTGGTATGTTACTCTTTTGTCTTCATCCAGTTTGGCACTGACAATCATCTCATGAAGTTCCTCTCTTGGGATTCTTTTATCCATATTTAATAATATATAGCGTAACTCCGCTGATTCAATGTATCCCTTATTGTCGGCGTCGAAAACTCGAAACGCTATCATCATGTCCGCCTCTCGCTCATCGGGTTTCTTTTGATCTTCCATCAATTTTACAAACTCTGGAAAGTCGATCACACCGTTTCCTTTATTAGAAGAATACAGAAGTCGTTAATATTTCTGTTCGGTTGAAACATGAATTTTGTCAGCCAACCCTCACACATTCCGTTTGACGAGATCAGTATTTTCGTGTTTCAATTTTATGCACGTTTCCTTCATTAAAAGAAAATGGTTCACTTTTCATGTGGTAGTAGCAAGAATTTCCTTACGCATCCATAAATTTATTTTCTACGAGATTTCTGAAATATTCAAGAGTTTTCTCTTTCAATTTATGCTGTGAAAAAATGGATGACACCATTTTGCTCATTTAACTACATGGAATGGTGACTCCTCGACAATATGGGGTAGATTAATTTTTTCTACCTATTCTTGCATATTCCTTCGAATCCTTTTTCCTAGAAACATTTGACGCCTACAAAGTTTTGTTAAAGTAAAGAGATGAAAAAAAAGGTTGCTTCCTTTTCAGTTTTTTTCCTCCTAACTTTTTGAGTTGCTGCCGCAAAATGCATTAAACATATGTTTCCAATGTCAGAAATGAATGTAACTTACTGTCGATCTTTTGAAATGCCTTCAAACCATATAAGACCGCTCTTCGGCTTAGATTTACAAGTTTTCTCGCGGTATGGCTTAGTTTGATCAAATCCCACTCGTTTTATGCTCGTAACAGGTTATTTCCCGTAGGCGTAACACACTTGTACAAATATTGCACGCCCCCAGTCATCCTTTTACGTAAGAATTTCAACAACGCGTCACTTGACTTGTCAATAACTAGTGTCAAGTTCTTAGAAATAGGGACTTTAAGAAAACCAAGTCATTGACGGCACAGAAGATCTCATGTTTTAAAACTTCTTCATTTTTCTTCGGCGTCCCAAACAAAACAAAAACGTGAAATCACCAACTTTTACGCCCTCTAAGCGAGTAAACCTCGACAGCAATTTTCTCACCCTTTTATTTTAAACTCAACGCTACGCTGACGTGCTATGCCGAAGGGTAGATGTCGCACCGTTGGAAACGGTAGATGTGAGCTACTAGTGAAATTCATAGGGGAAAAGAAACATCGCTTTTTGACAACTTTTTCCCAAACGGCGCTGTAGTAACATCTTAAACTCTCTATTATATAAAGAAACAGCGCTTTGCAGCGTTCAATTTTCATTGAGACTAAAAGTTTTATTTTGCCTGTCTGTCTCCAGTGTAGCTCTACGACATGTTTACAAATTTTATGTTCCCCAGAAAATGGCCTCATTACGTGATCAGAGCGCAAGAGGCAATCGTATCGAGTAAGCTTGTTCTTACATAACGAAAAAACAAAAGTAATAAAGATGTATTTAGCAATGAGATAAAATTATATTAAAGATGAAAAATTAAACATAGTTCATGGTTCATGACCATTTAGTAAATGACTTATCTTTAAAAATTTCGTCGAGGCGATTTTGAAATTTTGTATCCCTGGTTTCTTTACTCAACCGAAACGCATCCATACTTAATGAGTCCATTGTTATCTTGCGTTTGTCGTTTATGGAAAAAAGTAAATTTTTTTTTTATTTTCCTCCAATATCATGTAAGATACGTTCTCAATCTCGGAAGTTTGCACCTGAGACCATGCCGTTGTGTTGAGTCGTACTGCATTCGAATAAATTGCAGGATTCACAGTTATTATAATTATGAATCAATTACAGAACGTTAAACGAAAGTATCACATGGATGTAATTAAAGAGGGTATCGTATCGGGATATCTTCCAAAGATAAGATTAACAAAATAAAATATTTACTTGTTCAAGTACATAAAGTGCATTTTTGCTCTAAAGCCTTTTTTGCTCTGAAGATGAAGGGCTAACGCTCGTAACGTCAACTTTAGAAACTCTTTACGGTAGGTTGATGAAATCAAATTTTTTGTAAACCCCCGCAGCACCACAATTTCGTTAAAGACTTACCTGTCTTTTTCGACCTGATTTCTATATATCAATTTTTATTTAAAGCTAACGACACAAAGAAGTGGCGAAATATTTTGGCCGAACGGCAATAAAGCAAACCAGTGCAAAATTTTTAAGTAGAGTTAATGAAATCCATTTCAGTCAGTTTTTATTACCGTTGATCTGTAAAATATTGAACAAACTGTCAGTGCTTTGTGAGGTAAGATCGTGTATTCTCGCATAGATTTTCTATTAATACAATAATCCCTGAATTTTTCAATACATGCTTCATTAGAGTTGGAATATTTCCTAGCTTGTAGGATGACACGGTTTCACATTTGCATATTCTTTTAACCTAGCTGCTCAAATAAGATCGGTGCCAAATTAAAAGCGTTGTATTTGATTTACAATTCAAATCTGAAATCGAAAAACGTGATCTTTTGAACGCCGGCTATTGTCAAGTTTTCAGGGCACATGCGAATGGTGTGGCTTTTCAGTGTTTTCTAAACCCAGTTTTCCGGTATATTTGACAATTATTCACCGACACTGAGTTGAATAATTATTTTAGTAAACATCGCACAGAAACCGAAAAATAATAGTTATTTCTGTCGATATACCAAAAAAGACTGATCGGAAATTGAATTTTTGACGCGTGATTTTTTCTTTTCGGCTGCTTGGCGGTGGACAGGTACTCAGACCCAGCCAATCAGCGTGCGCGAAACGCGCTATTAACCAGCGTGGTATATCATACCTACTTTGATATTTGCGCTCGCACAAACAAAAATTGAACACGTTGACAATTATCGTAATTATTGCTGATCTCAAACAAAAGCGGGTAAATATTCAGAGGCGAGTGTTTACCCACAACACTTTTGGCTCAACCATCACAGGTTACCTTTGCCGTCGCAATAGGTTTTATCATGGGAAACAAACGAGGAAAGTGCGCGGGCGCTTATTTAAAATTTCGACTAAAAAGGTGGGGGTGTGGGGGATGGGCGGTAATTTGAAGGAGAGCGCTTAAGGGAGGGAGGCGCTTATCAATTTTTCCTTTCAGCGAACTGTGACTTTATTTTGGCTACATCCTAAATAGAAAAACAAAAACTACAACATTATCCACGAAGAAGTAAAGTCAATATCAACATATTTTGTTTTTTTTAAACAAAAGAGGAAAGACTTATTTTCTTAATAAGATGACAACGAAGAAGCCAAGAGGTATGACGAAAATGCACGATCGTAGGAATAACTGTTACCCAAAGGCTGGAGAATGGTCTGGTTGTGGGTGGGAAGTTAATAGCATTTACCATGCCAAGAGCGCCGCAAAAAGGTCAGAAATTAAAGGAACAGATAACGTACATAGAGGACCTATGCAAGCATATGGAGATAGAAATAACTGGAACGGAAAAGAAAATATTCTCTTTAACTGATCTTTAACCTTATGGCAAATTAAGCGGCACATTAATTATCAATTCATTTCTAGAATTGATAATTTGAAATTTGAAAAATTTAGCCAAACTTGTGGTTTTTTAACTTCTCGTCAACTTCAAATGGAATCGCATAGAAAGTCACTCTTCGCTCTAATTTCAAGCTGAGAAATAATCCACCTGTACTAATTTCTAATAAATTAGCAATGATGACCATCATCAAATGAGCTGGCGCTTCTTGAAGATAGACCTGAAAGACGTTGACAAGGGAGTCAAACTGTCTAGTCTTCATCAACTCAAGCGCTTATCGATCTTCGATGGAGCAATCTTCGTGTTAGACGACGCATTCATAAGCTCGTTTATGCTTTTAAATGTCTTAAAGGGTTTTTAGATCATAATTAACATTTTAACACTGGCTCCTCAATTCATAATTATCAAACTTGTCGTGTCAGTAACCTGAGAATTGACAGATCTCGTAGCAGTGAAGGTCAGTTATGCTCTTCCTCTTTGTTTTTTTAAGGAATTGAATGAAATTCCAGTAGAAGCCAGAAACAATGAAACTGTTAGCAGTTTTAAAAACTCTATCTCACAATTTTTACCGTAATTTCAGAGAATTTGCAGTTTTTGGCTCTTTTATTAAGTTTAGTGCAATTTAAGAGAGTCTGGAGTTTCTAGCTCTATTTTGTTAAGTTAAGTGTAAATTTTATTCTTAGTTTTCAGTTTTTAGATTTTAGATTTTAATTTTAAAAACAGGACTCGCCTGAAAAACCACCTGTGGGTGAGGCGACCTCCTGTATAACGACTGTGATAATGATGATGATGATGATGATGATGATTATTAGTATTATCATTACTTTTCAAAGTGTTTGCCTTTCATCGAAGCTCCGACAAAATACTGATCATCCTCTTCACTACCCCTCTCCCTTTCGTTCGCCTTTCGTCGTAGCTCCGACGAAATCCCGACCGTTCTCTTCACTACCCCTCTCCCCTAAGAAACACTCACCATCGTAATCAACCGAGTTGATCATGATTTGTAGCTCGTTGTCAGTTGGATTAAAGCCCAAGGATCTCATAACTGAACCAAGTTCTCTTGTGGTGATGTAACCATTGCTGTCGCGATCAAACAAACAAAAGGCGTCTTTATATTCTAAAGAAATATGATACAGTACCAGTACTTGTTAAGGTACTCTCAATGGAAAAAAACATCCATCATTTATTTTCAGGCCTCCTCAGCTAAGATTTATTCCCCCTTTTCGATTGAGTATCGTAAAACAAAAACTAAAGTAATCACAACAGCCAATCAGAAGAAAGGAAAATACCTTAAATAGCCAATGAGGAATCAAGTTAAAATTAAAACAACCAAACTGCCAAAAGTGCTGGGAAATGCGGGTGACCTAATTTTGATTGACCTTGGTTTTTTACTCTTGTATCTGGTTGAGTAAGCGGTGCGAGTTTTCTGGGCCAATCACAGAGTGAATGAAAGGAATACCAGTGAAATTTCGTATTTCTTTCTATACTCCTTTGAAAAGAGCTCAAGTGCAGGGAGGTAAAAGCAGGAATTAAAACGATCACGCAGAATTCACGTCATACTCTCTTCACATACGAAGATATGTTGCTGTGACGCACAGCTCGTTCGTTGAACCAGCATGTGCTGAGCTGTATGTAAATGGCAAATTCATTTGTTTCAGCATAGTTGCACTCCATTCAGAGAAAAAGTCGGCATTGACTGAGCCAAGTCTATGGAGCTACGTTTGCATTGCTAGCACAATCTTATGGAAATCTGCCGTTGAAAAGGAGCCTTTCAGAGGCTTCTTTCTTTCTTAAGAATGAAATGTAAATCATACCTTGTACTTGCTCTTCGGATAGTTGCTCCTGCATGAAAATAGAAAAAAATTATTCTTAACCTTGGCCACCTCTTGTGTCACGTAGATTGGTGTCCAAATAAAAGAAGACGATAATTCGACCACTCATTAGGGGAGGGACAGGGATTAAGACAAAAAATACGCTGGCGCATCAAGATAGGATGAGGTGGTGAGAAAAATAAAAAGGCATTCATATAACCTTCATTTTTACAAAAACGCTGAGGTATAAATAATTCTCCTTTTTCCCTGCTGAAAGAGTAAAGATATCAAACTCTAAAAAAGTCAGCGATATCCCAGTCACTTTTCTTCAGCGAATGATATAGCTTCGCCAATCGAGTTCGTTAAACATTCGCACAAAAGTTATCTCAATAGATTCTATAGGAAAAAAAGTTGCAAATATGAATGAATGAAGAAAGTTGTGAATTTAGAATTACTGAACTAACCTGCCAAACATGGTGAAGATGTACGCATGCATATAAAAAAAAATACTCAATCCGTGTTAGATATCATTATCGCTGATCACAATTTATTATTCTTTTGGTTTGTCACATATTTGTTTAAAAATTTCCACTTATTCGGTTCCTTAGGAAACGTGAAGATATCCTCAAATCAATTACGACGCAAGAGACGTTATCAGGAGACGTTTTGAGGGCTCATGCGAGTCCAAAATGGGAAAAAAAAAAGGCTCACTTGGATAATGACGAGCGAAATCCAAATCCCATCACGTCATCCTTATTATTTAACTTATTTTACAGCTTCTTTTTTCATGAGATGTTCATATCTCTCTTTGAAAGCAATAACCAGCTGCGAACAAACAAATGAAAAAAATTCGTGACAATTTGCTATTTTTGTTTTATACCGTTATTATCTTCCCACATGAAAAGTTAATTTTCTCGAGAAGCTATTGATTTTAATGTAACCTTCCCAGAGAAAGTCTGAATTATCCATGGGCAATTCGCAAAAACATTAATCTTAACTGAAGAGGGACAACAGCACGCGACGCATAAATTATGATAAAAACGGAAATAAATAGCCGAGTAGTTAGTGAAAAGAGTAAAAGACCAGTTTTTATTTCTGATTTACGACGATTTCGCCTTTTTTCAGGGTAATAACGAAATAAAAGAATTTCAAATCAATTCAAAACGCAAAAAGCGGTCAGTTTTGACAGAGGTGAAATCAATAGCTTTACGACAATATGGGCTTTTTCCTTGAAACGCTGAAACAGGAGAAAAAAAAAAAGGGAAAAAGGAGAAAAGCCCAACACTGAGAGCGTATTGACGGTTAACTACGATTTTTATGGGAAAATAAAACTACAGGATGTAACAATTCGCTCTGGTTCCTTAGTTCATGGGTGGATTATAAAAGTTTTTGCGTTTATAGCAAGGAAAATGAAAAGAAAGGTTTATATGTGGCGTTCGTTAACACATAAGTGTTGTTCTCCTTTTTTTTAAATTCGAGTCAAACTAAATGCTATGGATTCAAGCCAAGCGAAATATTTCTCAGATTTTTGCATCTGAATTGAAAAGTACTCACCATTTACTCCAGGTGTTACTCCACAAGAAAAGATGCAAGGAAGAAAATAAGTGTAGCAGCAATACTGTGTTAGCAACGATCACACAATCGGTTTCGTGCGTCGCCTAATGGTCTAACTTCCATCAAAAGTCATTTACATAATTGTTACATCCAGCTTTTTGCTACTGATTGGAGATTGACTTCTCTGTCCAGGTCATTATCCTATTTTTTAGAGCTTAAAAGTGCTCCCTCTTACTAACAATAAAACTGTCATCTCATGCTCACAAAAGATCTTCTTTTGCATATTCTAATGGGTTTGCATGGCTGTTTTGAACCAATATTCTCAACGCGGTTATTTCTGATCTTTTTCTGCTCGAGATTGGGGAGCCACAACTGGAAAAAGATTTCTATGGGTAACAACACAATATTATAACTATTATCAGATGATGAACAATTTTTTTTTTATTTCTTTCTTTTTTTTATTTATTTATTTTTTCAAATGCCGTCTTTAGGCTTAAATTTTTTTTTTTTTACTCATTTCTTATTGCTGTATTGAATATTACTTTCTTCATCATTTGCTTTTCAAATCTTAAGTATATGGTTCTCACATGAAACGTTTTGCGCATGTCCTTTCTAGCTGGACCTTAATACGTATACGCACCATTACCACCATCAAAAGAGTGGCTGGGTAGCATTTTACTTGGCCGGAGATCGCTCCCTCTCATAAAGCACTACATTCACATAAAAGCAAGCCACAATTAGCCAATCCGAATCCTTGTTAAAAAAGCTCAAACAATCTGATTGGTTGCACAAGACAAACGCTCTCAAAACTGTCAAACAGTAATTAAGTAATTAATCCAATTAATGCTTTTGCCTAAGGTTTTTTAGTCTCAGTACAAAAACTGAGAGTGAAATGTTCAATGAAATCCGGCCGACTTGTGGCTCATAAAAACATACAAGTATTTTCACATGACAATTACAAAACAAAGTGCCCAAGGCGTGAGTTTTATGAATGAACGACAGCCGAATTCACAGAAACATGAAGATTACTCAGGATGACAGCGCCGTAAACTCGGCCGCTGTGAATGATCCGGCTCTCCACTCATAACATCGGAAAGGACATCAGAGCAACCTCTTTGTTGTTCACTCGAAGGGCGGCCGATGTAATTTCTGAGGCTTGCTTCACTGCGATGACCTGAGATCACCATGATGAGCTAGCGGCGATGGACCTCAGCATGATCGCAGTCGCTCTGACACCATCATAGTTTGTATGAAGTTTACAGCTATGCCAGTTTGGTAATATTTTCATCATTCCTGTTTTGGTGGTTTGTTTTTGAAAACTAAAATTTATATACACTAAACGAGTGTTAGCTGTGTTTGATTTTTTTACCGTACTAAAGCTCACAATCTAACTGAACGTGAAAACCTTCAAGACGCGGACTGTCTATTCAATTTTCTCTTTGAGAATTTCCGTCTCTTTCCACGATAATAACGTCAATTACAACGCTTAGTATGCTTAAAAACCTCTGTTTGGTTTTCTGTTGCTACTTGTTAACTCGCTTGTACTCTGGTAAAGCATGCACTTCCAACCAATGAGAATGCGCGTTATATCCGATTTTTGTTCCAGGACTTCTCTTCTAATTAACGAAAAGTGCCATAGAGAAGTATGGAAAATTGTCAGACATAGTAGTATAGTACAAATTGGCAGATGGCGTGACAACTTTAGCTCAGCTCCGTGTTTTGTACTCTGATAGAGCACGCACTTTCAACTAAAGACAGCGAGCATTATATAAAACTGGTTCAGTTTCGTGCAATTTTCAAGCAAACCTTTGCATATAAATATCTGTAAGTTTTTCGTACTGTGAAGAGTTTGGTCAAAGGAAAAAAGCGAGACCGTTATGAGGAATCTAACTCAGACTTGCCATTTTCTGACGCCGATGTTCCTTCAGTGCGCTTCAGAATTCTCTGTGGCAAGTTTAGTAATTACCAGATTCCGAAGCGACACGCGAATCATAATTGGAACACATAATTTTGCTATTTTCTATGCTCGAGACCAAGGTCAAAATGTATATTTCCTTCTAAAAATAGCATCATTACTTGCAATAACAAGTTATGAAAAATTTGAATGGATTCGAGGGCGAACACATCTTACTTAGATACAGAAGTACTGAAATCTCAAGATTTAGATGATAAGAAATCTTGATATTTTAGAGCTAGTTGTCTGAAGATTTAGAATCCCTGTTAGAATGGTTCAAATAATCTGATTGGCCGTACAAGACAAAAGCTGTCAAAAGTGTCAAACCATCAAAGTTCACAATCTGCAATAGTTTACAAACTAAAATAGTTCGGCAAGTCGAATTTAACACTTTTGCTTGAAGTTTCTAAGCCTTTAATACAGAATCTTGAAGTGAGATGTTCAGTGAACTTCAGCCGAATAAAAAACAA